TATAGCCTTGACACAGATTCAATACAGGGACATGATTTGCTTGTTTCTGTAAAGAGTTTTACAGCAGACAACTGCAAAATACTTTCTTCATTATTTGAATATAATGGACAGAAAGTAAGAGAAGTGATTAGTGGGTTTTTTTCCCCTTACTCCAGATAAAATTTGTCAAGCTCTTTCCTTGTTGTTTATGGTAAAGATGTACTGTATGTATTTCTTTAGATTTGTCAGTGGAAGCCCTGATGACTCAGAAGCTTCTGCTGCTACAGCTGTTTTAAAACCTGAAGTCACCTAAGTCATAATTTCTTGTTCTTCATTATTTCAGAGTCTGGTTCAAAGCCTATTAAAGCTAAAGCTTCCTTCTCAGCTCTGAATTGGATGGTATTTTGCTCATTAGTTTCATTTTGAGGGGAGAAGAAATTTAGTTCTGAAAAACCACTTGGTCCTCTTTAGAACATCTCTAAGAAGCATGGGAAAGTGCAAGGTTCTGRATCTGCCATTTCCAGAACTCCAAAGACCCTGAAAGGACCACTTCTATTCTCAAACTTTTCAGCTCCCATCCAGTTCTCAGAACGTCAATGCAGTCTTCTGTAGGACTAGTTTGTGGTCAAGGTGACCACATCTTCCACAGCCTTGTCTCCTCAGCAGGGTTAACTTAGTGTAGGGAACCACAGCACTCCATGGGACAGTGTTTGGTCACTGATCATCATGCACCCTGCATGAATTTTAATCCAGCAGGAAAGATGTGAAGCCACTGGAAGACACATGCTAGTCTTCAAAACAAAAGAGACCTTGCAGTCTCACAAAGATACAGATGGAGTTCACAACCTCCAGCAGCATCCATAAACTGTAGAATGGCCAATTCCTCATGTTATCCCAGAAGGACGTGCTCTGAGATGTATTTTCTGGTTATCTGGTGAGGGGGACAGGACTCCCTTCCTACAAATTAATCTTGAGAAGCACATACAATCTGAAAAACTACTATTTTTTCACCTACTTATTCTGAATATATGCTTATATCCAGCCCTTAAAAGAATCAATAATGAAAAGTTTATAAATCTGAACAGGTTCAGTAATGGAAATAGCAATATATTTCCCTCTGTGTGATCAAGGGATAAAACTACTACTGCTCTGAGTCTGGATGAAGAAGATTATTTGTATTTCTGGTTCTATTTTGGGGTCTTCCAAGCAGCTGTGCTGTAAAGGGAAGGAAGCCCTATCAATGTTGATGTGACATGAGTGAGGTCACTTTGTCTCTAGGCCAGTCCTTAGGCCTCTTTTATTTGGAAGCACAGGCACAGCTTCYGGATGTAATGTCAGCTCTGACTCAAAGATGCTGCTAGGATCAGCAATGACATTAGTCTAATCATACTGAGACAAAAAAGTCTGATGCAAACTCTAGTCTAAAGAACAGCTCCAAATGATTCTATTATTGAAATACTGAATCAGCAATAGCAACAGTGATAAACATATGGAGGCAAAGTGTATGGTAGACAAATGACAAAGACACATTACATAGTCTAAAAGCACTTGCCAACTAAAAATAGGCCTCGACACTGCATTTAGATCTCTTTGGGCTGACTCTGGCATTCATGTGGGATAAAACTATCTTCAGATGCCTCCAAATTACATCCATATAAGTTCTCTTTCTTTCTGGAAACTGTTTGCAAATTCAGTGGGGTCTACCCAAGCACATAAATTATGGCAGAGTTGGAACATAATACTGCAGGCAAGAATGTTCCCCAAAATGCCTTCTAGTGCTCAATGATACCCATAAACTGTGGGGGTGTGGGGGAGGGGGGGAACCAACCAGCAACCCTCAGACCACAAAGAAAAGACAAAACAGATGCGAGGCTGTGATGCAAAGCACAGTGAAAATCTGGGTAACACCTTCTTTCATGGAGAAGGAAAGCTGTGGTAAGGAACAAAACAGGGGACACTGCTTTACAAATCAAGATCTCTGGCTACTTTTGATTTAYGTTTACTAATTCTATGCTCATTCCAAACCACTTCCACTATAAAATGAAATATGATGCCTTTGTATATGGTGTTGTCATGTAAATTTGCTTTGTTTTTATAYTTGATAATGTTGGAATAAAGATTCTTGAAATCTCTCTCATGAAAGGCTTSACAGACAGCCCCCTAAGTGCTGTGCCTTTTACAGTGTAACATAATTGACAACCCTTAGGTAGCTGGCGTATGCAGTCTATATAATGAAGTGAGCTCATTCCACATTTGGAGAAAAGTAGGAGCAATGAAATTGTTGTTGTTATTATCAGCCTTTTAAAATAGAATTTATGTGTTTGCACTAAAGAAAGCATGACTTTTGGATATATCAGCCTCAAGCCTTTCAATAGTAAAGATCAATGCAAAACAATTTCTGTGTCAAAAAGCACACACATGTCATAAAATATCTGGAAATTACTTAACTGGAACAGAGTTAAAATACTGCTGAATTGTCAGCATTTTTAGCATGCATTTTGGGTTTTTTCCAACACATACTAATCAGCTTCTGAAGCACAAAGCTTTCTGTCAAGCCACTCTTCTCCAGTGTTCTCCCTAGCCAAAACCTCCATTTTTTTGCTCAACACTAGACTTAGGTGTTCCTAAACTTCCCTGAATCTGAAGAAAATCCAGAAAGTGCTCATGGATAACCTCTGAGAAATGCTCTTTGCATGCAGATACTGTAACATCCTCAGATTTTGTTACCCAGTCAGCCCCTGGATGAGCACTGGTGATTACCGTCCCTTATGGCACATCTGGCCCAGAATTTCAGCAAAAGTACTTACAGCTTAAGGAAGAAAGGCACAGAAGAGAACACAAAACATTATTCTTATTATTCTTTATAAAAAAGAATAACTTTAGTTCAGAATTCCAAAACAAATCTGCTTCTTTAGTTCTGTTTAGGGAAAATGGGAAAATTTAGAAATGGATTTGGATTAGGGTATCCTGCAAAGTTTTAATTCTCCTACAACTATTTGCATTATGTTCTGATACGTGGAATTCCTCCGTCTCTGCTGCAGGTTAGTTTGCTCTGTTGCAAGGCAGCAGATCCTGCTACATCCTTCATCATGTTCTGAACCTCTTCTCCTCTATGAGTTTCTTTCATATCTAATCCTAAAATACACTCTTCAGCTCATTACCAAYTAGGAAGACTTTTTCTCTGTATGTCTGCTCCACCTTTATACCTCAACACAGTCTACCACCTCCTCRTGAGGGCAGGATGAGGGGCAGACACTGATCTCATCTCTTTGGTAACCAGTGACGAGATCAGAGGAGATGAAGTTGTGCCAGGGGAGGATTAGGTTGGATATTAGGAAAATATTCTTCACCAGAGGGTAGCTGGGCACTGGAACAGGCTCCACATGGAAGTGGTTACAGCACCAAGCCTGACATAGTTCAAGAAGTGTTTGGACAGTGCTCTAAGGCAAGGTTGTGAGTCTTGGAGATGGTCTGCAGGACCAGGAGTTGTACTCAGTGAACTGATGGGTCCCTTCCAACACAATATATTCTGTCATTCTGTAAAATGAAGCCGTCAGGCTCAATGGACTTTTGGGCTGACCCAGAGCCATGCCATTGTTCTGACTGCATCTCTAGGGCAGTGAGCTGGAGAGCATGCACACATCTCCATCACTGCCACCGACATACCTGTTTCTCAAGCAACTGGTTTTCACACTACCAACACCAGTAATCTGAACTCATGCTATCTACAAATCCCATCTCTGAATACAAAAGAACACCCCAAATCTCACTTCAGGACTGTCTGCATGTAGGCTGGTAACATAAGCAATGAGCAACTTTGGACTGAAGCTCAGCCTTAGGTTTGTGCTTAAGCATTTGCATATACTACAGACGTGCCCTTCAGGCTGTACCCATACCCATGCATGTGACAGGCTCAGTCTGGCTTCCTTATTTTGCTTTCAGTGATTTTTCACTTCAGAAACCTCAAGCTGCACACAGAAGCACCCTTTTCCTTAAGTCAGGCCATCCTCAAAGACAGCACTCCAACGCTTTGAATTGTCCCAAATAATATGCTTAGCCCTCATTTTCTGTGTCTAAAACCAAAAGCAGGTAATGTGCTGCAGGCAACAGTCCCCAGTTCTGTGACTGCACAGGGCATGAACAGCAGGTTACATGAGAATATGGGTAATCAGGCTCACAATTCAAATAGGTCCCCACAGCTAAACATTTCCCAGCTGGGCTCAAAAGGAACATCCCTGCCACACAAATGACTGAAGTTCCTCAGAGGGCTTAGCAAAGCACTGGGGTAGTTTGCATGGATTAGGTAAGCATCTACAGTCTGTCAACTAAACACAGAGACAGGAAGAGAAACCTTTTGGAGTTAATTTTGGGATAAGTAGATTAAACACGGTTTTCTTGCATTTCCCTCCACCTCTGTCTCAACAAATTTTGACAGAGGGATGGGGTGCAGGTGGTTGAGAATGTAAATAACCTCTGCTCATTTTTATCCTACCTTCGTTTGTGCTAGAAACTGATTTTGAACTGGCAAACCCAGACCCCTGCCACTCAAGCAGAAGTGGCAATCTTTGCACTACAAGGAATCTTTCTGTAACATGCTAGCCATGCCTACCACAGAAGTACATTTTCTTCAAAGCATCCCAAATAATAACTTCATGCACTCCTTTATAGGTGGCCTGTTCCTCAAGATTAATTGATGATTAATTATATGTGGGGAATAAAAACTGTTCACTCCAGCGGCGCTTTGTTTCTGTAAAGCTGACAGGGGTGAGAGGTAACAATTGCTCAGCACAGTGAGGACTGAAGAGCTCCTCTGCAGCTGAACAAAGCCAAGCAGTGGGGCGACAGATGGCAGATGYGATTCACCATGGGCCATGAAGAGGCTGTACCCATCACAGGCATTCTCCACCCCTTCAGCTCTGCTGGCTGCTCCAGAAGGTGGGTCAGTGGGACTGTGACCCTAAGCCAAGCCCCTTTTTCTCTTTTAGAGAAACAGCTGGTAACTAAATGCCATCCCAACATACCTTGTGAATGAAAGTGTGGCTGCAGTTCCCATTGCTTGGCCAGGTGTGAACAAGAGAGACACTTCACTGCTCTACTTCAGTGCAGTGTTCATGGCAATCATTTGCACATATCTGTGTCAGTGAAACAGTTGATGTTTTAATTTTTATAGCCGGCAACTCCAAGAATAAATGCAACTTTCCCGGCAGCTTCTCCCTGACCTCCCCACATGGATAACTTCGTTTGTCAATGCCCAGGTTTTTTATAACCTCTTTTATAACTCAGAGAGGAAATCATACTTACATCTGCAAGGGGGGAAGCAAGGGCCACTTGTGAAAAACTTAACAGAAAAACAAACCTGGAAAAGCAGAGATTAATTTCCAGAATATCCCCTCAAACAGTAACTCCTATTAAAAAGAAGGGTCCAATAAGTGTAAAGAAAAACTTCTTAAAATTCAGTTTTTAACTAATTTCCACTTTTCCTGTGGTAGAAAAAACAACTGACAAAAATCCAATCACCTGTAAGGGTATATCCTATGTAACTCAGAGAAATGACGAACACTTAAACTCACAAGGTTTAGCGTCCAGATCAGTATCACCTTGGGAGATGACAGGATTGACACCAGCCTCACCTCAGCAAGAGATCACTGCTGAGTGTTTAAAATATGTCACCCAGAGAAGGGCAATGGAGCTGGTGAAAGGTATGGACCACACATCCTATGAGAGGCAGCTGAGGAGGCTGGGGCTGTTTAGCCTGGAGGAAGCTCGGGGTGACCTTATGACTCTTAGAGCTGTCTGAAAGGAGGCTGCAGCCAGGTGGGGATCAGTCTCTTGTCCCAGACAACCAGAGACAGGACAAGAGGACATGAACTTAAGCTGCACCTTAAGCTGTAAACTTAAGGTTTACACTGGACATTAGTAAGACTTTCTTCACAGAAAGGGTGATTAGACATTGGAGTGGGCTGCCCAGGGTGGTGTTGGAGTCACTGTCCCTGGAGGTGTTTAAAGAAAGACTGGACGTGGCACTGAGGGCCATGGTCTAACGGACATGGCGGTGCTTGCTCCATACTGGACACGATTATCTCAGAGGTCTTTTCTAACACGATTATGCGATCCCTTGATTTTTTCCATGGAAAAAACCCAAGCAAACCAGGGCTAGGGTGAAATCTAGTTTTTGCTACAAATCTCCCGAGCAGTGCTGCTGCACCAGACACGCTGCASATCCCAGCGCTGCGTACTCAAACAGGAGTCCGGCTTTCAGCGCMGTCCTTCGGAGGTGGGAAGCGGCGCCAGGGGTCTCCTGCTGACCTGATGGCCACCGTGACCGTAACCCCAGGTATAAYCCACCACTTTCCCGACGGGGCTGGATTTCAGGAATGCTGAGGCGCCGTTGAACACCGAGCAGCAGCCGGGGGCTCAGCGGCGGGAGCAGCGCGCAGGCGCGGCCCCGCCCCCGGCCCCGCCCGCCAATGGGAGGGCGGATTGCCGCGGTCATGGCGGCGGCCGTGGGGCGCGTGCTGCGGCTGTGCCGCCGGTGGGGCGCGGGGCCGCGCGCGCAGGTGAGAGCCGGGCCGGGCCGGGCCGGGGTGCGCGTCCCGGGGGAATGGCCCCGCCGGGAATGGCCCCGCCGGGAATGGCCCCGCCGGGAATGGCCCTGCCAAGGCGGGAACAGTGCCTGGCAGGCACCGGTGTGGTGCTGTCCCCCTCCTGGGCCGGCGGGGCTGTGGCAGGGCTGGGTGGGGAGTGTTGGAGTCTGGCGCCGCGTTCAAGTCGTCTCTTCCGTGAGCTGCGTTTGTTTGCCTTGATGTGAAGTAGAGGAAGCTTGGTTAAGCCTAGAATTAACAGAGTGGTGTACAGAGAAAAGCCAGTGCAAACGATGGCAGGTTTTGTGTTGATAATTTTGAATGATATAGTAAAACACAAGCAGTTCTACCTCAACATGAGGAAGAGCTTCTTTACGTTGAGGTTGACAGGGACTGGGGCCTCCCTGGAGACATTCCAAACCCRCCTGGACGCGCTCTGTGTCACTGCTCTAGGTGACCTTGCCTTGGCAGTGGGGTGGACTGGGTGATCTCCGGAGGTCTCTTCCAACCCTGCCAGTGCTGTGTTTCTGTGCATGGTGTTCGGTCAGCAGGTGAGTAGGTCATGAATCTCGGAATCACAGAAAGATTTGGGTTTGGAAAGGACCTTAAAGACCATCTAGTTCCACGCCCCCTGCCATGGGCAGTGGCTCATCCCACTAGACCAGCTTGCTGGTCAAAGACTCAAGTCTTTGAGTACCGGCCGTGGAGAGAGAAATGTTCTCCACAATTACCTTCTGATTAAACAGAATTGCTTTGTTTTGGGAAGTAGGGGTGTTCAGGTGATTGCAATTTATTTAAAAAGTTTCGCTGCTGTCACTATTGCTTGTGCTGTTGTATTTGATACACCTGTATATATACATTTAATCAGTGCCCAGCATGTGAATGAAAAGGCTGCTGGTAACTTTCAAGTAACTTTCAAGTTGCTGAGTAATTTAGGATAACAAGGGCTGAAGAACTGTTTGTGACTGAACTAACCCAAACCATGGGGTAACAGAAGAAAGAGGCAGTAAGGAAATGGAAGGTGATAGTGGGAGGAGCAATTTAAAGTTTATATTGATTGCATCTAGATTAACTTTAGCCATTAGGGATAGAGGCCTTGGTGCCCATGTGGGTAGTTCTTCATGCAGTAGTYAGGAGTACATTCACTTAAAGTATACAAGGAATGACAAAGAGAGTAAGGCTGAAAATATTCTAACACTCTATTTCCTTCTCAGTTGGAATAGTTGCTTTAGTTATCTTGTATCARAGGTGTGATTGTGACAGTAACTTGGTTTTCCTGGTAAGGCACATGCTTGAGTTTTAGCTGAAATTCGTTGTGTAAATGAGGGAATGTTCTCAAAGGAGGAGTCAGTGAGGAAGGTAGGGCTGGAAGGGGCCTTGAGGGATGGTTTGTCTATTCTCACCCCCAGAGATGGGATCAGTACCTAAGCCTGTAGCTATATACAAATTGTCTAGCTGTCTGTGAACCAAAGGGTATGAAGGGAACTAGTGGAACACAGGCCCAGAAACCTTAGAGACTCTTCATTARGTGTAGTGGAACTGTTTGGTGAGAATGTTGAGGATAGTAAGCATTTACGTGAATACAAAAATCAGGTTCAGAAACTTGGAAGAAAATTCCACTGAGGATCCATAAAAAACAAGATACCGATATGTCTGAGCTGCAGATTGCTGGAAACCAGGCAAGTGCCCTGCGAAAATTATCACTACCTGTTTGTCTTGGGCTTGTGCCTCTGATACAGGCTATGATTGAGGACAGGGTAATAAGTTGATGTATCCATGTTCTGACCTGCTATAACAAATTCTTACACTTGCATGTCTTACAGAGCAGTTACCTGTCCTGACTGTTCAGAAATTTTTTAATGATGCTTGTCCTAAAAATCCTTTGCAGTTGTTTAGTTCATTACTTCTTGTCTGTCTTAGTGGGGGGGAAAGTTCAGTGTCTTAATTTTAAAGTTTCTTGCATTGAGAGAGGAAATGGGAGAGCAACTTYAGAGTTCTAGTTCCCTTAGTACCAGCTGAGCAGCAGGTGTAGTTTCCTATTCTTCCAGTAAACAAGTGGCAGAGATTTAGTGCAATTTATAAAGAAAAAAGGATCTAGCTTAGTTACTGTCAGCCACTGTGATGTGATTGAATAGCTGTTCTCAGCAGAAGAGTTCAGATACATCCTATTTAATTTGATTGGGTTGAGTACTTTAACTAAATCACTKTGGATGTTATATGTACTGATATCAGAAAGAGATGATAGTACTTTGGTGACATTCTTTCAGAACTACATACTTGAAATGTAAGAGAAGCCTTTGTGGCAGTTGTTAACTTAGAAACAATTGAAAAATCTGTTAGTACTTGAAAAGTTGTGTCTAAAAATGTCCAGATCTGAATTCTGTTCCCTGTTACATGCATCTGACTTTTGCCATGTATTGATACATTTAGAGCTGTCTTTGATTTCCCCAGTATACAGCAAAATTTAATGTGTAGATTTGGTCAAACATGCACAGAATGTGGGTGTGATGAGTGGGTGAGATACAGTTTTATAGTTTCCTGCCAAAGGACTTAATTTTGAGAAAGAAATTTCTTCTGATGAAATACTTTGTGAAATTGGGTATAAAAAAATAACATAAAATCACTTATGCGTGTTTGCTGACATCTTGTGATACTTTCTGATGTTTTACAAAATGCTTCTGAAACATAAATTTGAAACATAAATTTGATAATTAGTTTGTAGGCCAAGTGAAATCAGAGATTATATCAATGTTGCTTAAGTAAATCAATTAAAACACATTTTTGTGAAACAGCACTCTAGAAATCCAAAACACACTTATTGAGCAGAAAGCAATTATTTAGAAGCTGGGATGACTTTGAGCATTTATATTCTGTATAATTGCTRTGTAAAAGATGCTTTTTCTTTTGCAACAAGTGATCAAAGGACTGTCTGGGTTCAGCAGCAGCTGTGCCAGTAACTGGAGATTGGACACTGGGCAGCTTTAGTCCTTTGTACTGATGTGGTTATACAGCTCCATTTCCACATCTTTTAGTGAAGTCCTGTCCTAGATATAACTTTTTACTACAAGTTTGTTTGTGCACTGTGTGGTTTTGGAAAAGGAGCTGGTTGAAGTCTGGCAGCTTGGAGAAGAATCATGAAAATGATGTGACAGTGCCAAATGCCATGTCATTTGGTGTCATCTTCTGTCTCTGTAACTGYGTCTTGTTGTAAAATGGACAACTTTTGGGCTTGAATTTAAATCTCCTGACTCCGATTCATCCTTCCCCCATTCCAAAAGTACAGGAAACTTGATTTTTCTGTTAGTTGGTTTGGTTTATATCCATGTAACTCCAGTGAAGCAAAATGAACAGGAAAAGTAGTCAGACAGTCCTAGTTTCTTTTCTTCTTGGAGAAAAAATAGGCTAGAGAAGTTGAAGTTGTCTGAAAATGCTGATTTTTTTCCTAAGGCAAATTTAACATAAGCTGCTTTCCTATAAGTTTATGGTCYCCCTGTAAAATCGGGATTTGCCAAACAGTTTTAATTTTAGGTTGCTCAGAAAGGAGTTGGGAAGGAAGRGTTAATCACAATGAGTTGTGTCCAGAAGTAAAGGCTTTCCCTTCTCCCAGGTTCTGGTGGAAGAGCATATTATTTCATGAGTACTGTTAATAAGCATTACTGTTATTTAACAAATGGTGAGGCTGCTGTCTGCAGTAATGCTTTATGAAACGTGTAAGAAGTGAATGCAAACCTCTGTGGTTTCCTCTACAAAGTAGATGAGCATGCTTTCTTGTTTGACTGAAATGCCAGAAGCATTTAGCCGTGCTTTGCAGTTTCTGCCTGTGCCACCCATGAAATAGTGCTCTTATCCCAGAAGAGGTACCCAATACAATAGATATTAATTTGCATAAGAGGCTGTTTTCTAATTATGAACAGTTTGTGTGTCCAGGGACTTTTGATTAGTGACGAATTGAAACTAGGGAAGAATATGAATAGCTTGAGGGAAGAAGGACAAAAATGAGAAAATTACAATAGAAATTGACAGGAATAAGATGAAAGCAATCTTTTTTAAAGTATTCTGTTTAAAGCATACCAGCGAGAAAGCTATTTTGGGCCAAGTAATAAGGAATCATATGTTCATTAACAAGAATTACAAATAATTAGCTACTGTTAAGACAAGTAAGACAGAAGATGAATTGAATTCTTTCCTGAGGAGTAACTAGGAGAGAAGAATAGGGAATACGTGAAGGTACCTCTGCTTTACTCACTGCTTTATAAGGAAATCACCAGAGCCTTGCCTTTAAATGTGTACATTTAAAATTTTGATTATTTTTCTTTTAATTCTGTGTATGTTAATGTAACCTCACAGGAAACATGAATATTGAAAAGAAAAGAAAAGAAAAAGGAAGGGACAAAGCAGGATAAGCACTGTGCGCAAGATGTATAAGTTGTGAAGAAAATGAAACAACAACAGGCTCTTCAGCACCAAATTCTGCCTTGGACCTGTTTTTAAATCTTTTCTGGCAGAGGTATATGCAGCTTTTCTGAGGRGCATACTCTGAGATGCAAATCTTCATCTGTTAGGTGAAAGCATAGAGGGTCAGTACTTTTTGACTTGTTTCAAAGTCAAAGATTCTGTTAGATTCTTCTATATCAAAGCTGATTGAGTTCATAGGACCTATCTTGCAGCCTWGGCATGGGCTATATACATGTTTAAGGCAGTGTGTTGTAGTCCTTACTTCAAATCAAAATTTCAAGTGGGGTTGTTAAGTTTTGTATATTGAAGACTGAGACAGGCATGTATTGGTAAACTGGTCATGGTTAGCTTTACATATGTGCAGCAAATCAAATGAGTTGGATCAGTCCATCCTGGACTGCCAGATGTCC